CTTAACAACAAAAAGGGGATGCAGATGAATGTCCATTTTGTATCTGTGTATTCAAATGGCTAGGATCGATATACAGTTACATTCTCTTAATGAATAGAGGGATTTGTTCTAATGGTGTTTGTAAGTAGGATATTATGTCCACATCTTGTACAGCAATTAACCACTAGGAAGAATGTATACAATGTGTTAATTACTGAAACTGTCCTACCAGTTTGGTTTGAAACTGTTTCACTGCTATTTGTTTCTCAATAAATTTATGGAAAAAAAAAAGTTAAAAAAGGACAAAAAATGAAAAAAAAAGTTGACAGGTATAGGTTATAAACTAATATGTGCAGAATTATCCCATTTTATAATAAATATTAAAATGTACATCCTCAAAAAAAAAAAAAGATTAGTAGGATCCTGGACATGGCACATCCTCATCCCACTCACTTCCCCTCTGCCTTCCCTTCATCCATGGTCCCATGGACCCCTTCCCCATCCGTCCTGTGTTATTCTCCTCCTACTCAGCCCTTTGCCCACCTGCTCCTGCAGTTCTCCATGTGTGTCCGACATCCTTTCCCACTCTCCCTAGGGCCCTGCTCCTCTAGGCGCCGCTTCACCCCATGGAAGCGCTTGCATTCAGACTGAAGAATAGCCTTGGAGACAGGAGGGGGAATGTAAGGGGCTGCAAGGGCTGGGGCAGGCATGGGTCAGGAGGAAGATCACGGTGGGGGTCAAAGACGGTGGGGGTGGAAAGGAAGCAGCTCCAGCAGAGGCTGCTGGAACCTACAGAGCAGTGACCACACTCAAGCTGGTCCTCAACTGGCAGGCAAAAGAGGCCACCAGAAGTTTCTGACAGTGGAGAAACACACATTATCCAAACAGGGCAGGATGACCTGGGGAGCAGGGACTACCCCATGAGTGCCCCTGAATGGGAATGCAGAGGTCACACTGGGTCAAACTTTCACAGCCCCTGGGAGAGAAGGGGCCCTCACCGGCATGGACTCCTCCGGGGAATGAAGCTGTGTGGGACAGGCCTACAGAGAAAGCCCCACCAACCGCCTCTACCCGTTCCCCTGGATCCCGTGCTGCCTCCTGATAGGGAACAGGCCCAGGCCCACCCAGCTGTGCCAGGAGCCACCCACAGTTCCCAAATCACAGGCTCTCATGGCGGCCAGCAGCAAAGCTGCTTTAACCACCCGTCCATGACCTACCCCGGGGCCACCACCTGCAGCACGTTCCCAAGGCTAAAAATACAGCCAGCTTTGCGGCCACACTCTTCTTCCACAGAGCCTCCCAGGAGCAGAGCTGCTGCCTGGTGTGCAAGAACCTGTGACTGCCCACTCACCCTCTAGTCAGCACCTTCGGTGGGACCAGCCTGCGAGGGGCGGGGCACAGGCTCTCAGCTGTCTGCACAGTGCAGTGCCTCGCAGGCTGCCCTCCTGGCTGGGCACAGGCACACCTGCCCTTCTCCCTGGGCTTGGCCATTCTCCAGGTCAACCCAGTGGAAACATCTGCAAGGAAGAGCAAACACCCTAGCCACTAACAAACCCTGCACCACTAATTGTCACCCAGGGCAGTAGAGTTCCCAAGTACTGGCCACTGCTCTCCACCCTGATTCCTGACCCAAGAAAAATCAGAGAGGTAGCATTCCAGGCCATTGCTAGCTTCAGCCTAGTACCTTACTGCAGCAGCCCACCTCATGAGATATGGAGACCAGCTGGGACTGGCCAGGCCAGGCCTGCCAAAGGACAGCCAGGGCTACCAGGAAAGACACAGTAGCTGGCCACATTAAAACTGTCATCCATTTGTTCTAATGGTGTTTGTAAATAGGATATCATATCCACATCTTATACTGCAATTAACCACTAGGAAGAATGTATGCAATGTGTTAATTATTGAAACTGTCCTACCAATTTGGTTTGAAACTGTCTCATTGCTATTTGTTTCTCAATAAAATTATGGAAAAAAAAAAAAACCTGTCATCCACAGACCCAGCTAGCCTGAGGCCCCTGGACAGCAGAGCAATGGCCAGACCCTGGAGGACGGGGCTCTTAGATTCAGCCTGCCCAGGGCCTTGGGCCATGCCATCTCTCCTGAGCTGCAGAGAGCCAACTTTACATCCTGCATCTGGGCTTTCAGCCCTGTCCTGAGCCCCCTGCGCTCACATCTATTGCCAAGTGCACCACCCGCCCCCTCCTGCAGTCTTCCCTCGGCTGGAAGAGTCCACCACATCCCAGCCCAGGCTTGCTGCCCAGGCAGCTCAGCAAAGCCATCCTCCACTGTGGCCAAACTCTGCAAGGGCTTTCTGGGCAAATGTAAACTCCAGGTGTGGGAAGGCAGCAGGGAGACCACTGGGCCCAGGGAGTGAGGCCTGGTCGCACAGTGCAGAAGACTCTGCCCATACTCTGCCCGCAGTAGCACCAGGGCCACCGTTCCCTCAGCAGCACACATTTCCCTGAGTGTCCCAGCTCTCCCAAGTGAGTCTCCATGAAGCCCTGTGTCCCCTCCACCCTGACAGGCAGAAATCCAAGGCTCCACAGGGGTCCATATTGCTTGGCCCTGAAGAGCTGCTTGCCTTGGCCCATAGCCAACCTGCCCCATTCAGTCCTTACGTGCTCAGGCTGCAGCCTTGGAGCCACCCTGGACCCACCCACGCTGCTCTGCCTCTGAAACGCAGACTCCCAGCACTGCCCCTGCCCCCGCCAATGCCCAGGACCAGCCTCCAGCCTCCAGATGTCAGGGTAGCTCCTAAGAGCTCATTGCTTCTGGGTGCATATGCCTTAGCAGCCAGCCCAAATGCTTCCTCCTGATGCCAGGTCTTCACCATGGTCCGAGGCCTACACATCTGGCCCCCACCTCCAGCTCCCCCGCAATAGGCCTCCCTTGACACACAAGCAGGGACCATGTCAGGGCCTTGGCACAAGCCCTTCTCCAAGACTTCTGCACAAGCCTTCCTCCTCCCTGCTGTGTTGTTGTGCATGTGTTCTCCCTGACCACCATATTTAAAACCATGGCGCATGCCCC